CCAGGCCAGTCAAGAAACATAGTCCCTCCAGCGTGCCCTGTGTCTCCCCCTGGGTCTCCTCCTGGTGGGACGTGCCTGGAACACCTCACCAGGGAAGTCCAGGAGGCATCCTAATCAGATGCCTGAGCCACTCCTCTGGATGTAAAGGAGCAGTGGCTCTACTCTGAGTTCTCCCCGGATGACTGAGCTCCTCACCCTATCTCTAAGGGAGAACTCTGAGTTTACAATTCAACAAAATAAAAAAAAATATTATTTGGCAAATAAATGCTTCTGCTCTATAAATTAAAGGTACTCTAAATGTCATAAATGATGCAAACTCAGTCATTCTTATGTTTTTCTTTATGTTTTATTGGTCAGCAGTAAAAAGTACAGTGTATACTACAGTACAAAAAAATAACATGTTTAAACACTGCTCCACCGTTCCACTGTATGTTTTGTAAAATATTCATGTTTTGAGCGTGCAAAACAACAAGCCCAGCTGTGAGCATCCAATGCAGAAGATTGTAACCGTATTGTTCAGCGCCACCTTTTGACCCAGTGATTTCTGAACACCTTGCAACAAAGAAAAAAATAAAAAGCTATAGCGACAACAGAGGCAGCAGCCAGCATTGGTTATTGATTTCATCTGTAGCAGTACAAAAATGAAACAGATGACAGCAGGACCACAGACTATTCCATTGAAAACAGACCATGGACTGATTCATTCAGAGGCGCACCTAAAGGCAAACAGAACAAACTGGGTGGACAGAGACATAAAGTTAGTTCAACCTTAATGTAACCAGGATATTTTTTAACAGAATACAACTGGTCACGCTGATATGCTCATTGAGTACACTACCATTTCCTCTCTCTTTCACACCCACACTCTTATCACAGGTATATAAAGGACCAACATGAGAAATTAAGACCTCTGAGTTGTCCCTCCTCAGAGAAGCTGGTGATGCATCGGGGGGGGGGGGGGGGGGGGGGGGGGGGTCGTTTTAGAGTTCAGTAAAATTCAAGTCTCTTAGATACCCTTGTTTAATCCGAGCCTGTGTTTATCAAACTACCTTATCAGGCCTGCTTTTACAATTTATGACACGTGTTTATGAAAGAATATTCAGCAAATCACTACTCAAACTCCCATTTTTAAAGGCAAGATAAAAAAATAAAAAAAATTTAAGAATTGTTATTGATTATTAAGGTGAGGGGCCTGAAATTAAAGTGATGATAGTTAATGATTCAAATTATGCATTATTTTCTAGGTACAATTTTTCACTTTTTTTTTTTTTATCAGTCCCGCTTAATAGATACATAATTTGTTTTTGTCTAATCATTTAGCATATAAATGTGTTTCAATAAACATCTTCTCCTGTTTAGAAAATCTCTCCGTACTTTTGTATAATAACTAAGGTTAAATGACCATCTATTTAATTTAAAATATGATATAGTTTTATATTTAGTGAAGGAGAGACACACAACCATCTGTGTCATGTAACCTGCTGTGCTCTGTTTAACATCTACAGGTGCTGGTCATAAAATTAGAATATCATGAAAAAGTAGATTGATTTCAGTAATTCCATTTAAAAAGTGAAACTTGTATATTATATTCATACATTACATACAAACTCATATATTTCAGATGTTTATTTTGTTTAATTTTGATGATTACAAATGACAACAAATGAAAATCTCAAATTCATCATATCAGAAAATTAGAATATTACTGAAGACCAATAAAAACAAAGGATTTATAGAAATGTTGGCCAACTGAAAAGTATGAACATGAAAAGTATGAGCATGTACAGCACTCAGTATTTAGTTGGGCCTCCTTTGGCCTGTATTACTGCAGCAATGCGGCGTGGCATGGAGTCGATCAGTCTGTGGCACTGCTCAGGTGTTATGATAGCCCAGGTTGCTCTAATAGTGGCTTTTAGCTCTTCTGAATTGTTGGGTCTGGTGTATTGCATCTTCTTCTTCACAATACCCCATAGATTTTCTATGGGGTTAAGGTCAGGAGAGTTTGCTGGCCAATTAAGAACAGGGATACCATGGTCCTTCAACCAGGTACTGGTAGCTTTGGCACTGTGTGCAGGTGCCAAGTCCTGTTGGAAAATGAAATCTGCATCTCCAAAAAGTTGGTCAGCTGCAGGAAGCATGAAGTGCTCTAAAACTTCCTGGTATGTGGCTGCGTTGACCCTTGACCTCAGAAAACACAATGGACCAACACCAGCAGATGACATGGCACCCCAAACCATCACTGACTGTGGAAACTTTACACTGGACTTCAAGCAACGTGGATGAAGTGCCTCTCTTCTTTTCCTCCAGACTCTGGGACCTTGATTTCCAAAGGAAATGCAAAATTTACTTTCATCAGAGAACATGACTTTGGACCACTCACCAGCAGTCCAGTCCTGTTTCTCTTTAGCCCAGGCAAGACGCTTCTGACGCTGTCTGTGGTTCAAGAGTGGCTTGACACAAGGAATGCGACAGCAGAAACCCATGTCTTTCATACGTCTGTGTGTGGTGGTTCTTGAAGCACTCACTCCAGCTGCAGTCCACTCTTTGTGAATCTCCCCCACATTTTTGAAGGGGTTTTGTTTCACAATCCTCTCCAGGGTGCGGTTATCTCTCTTGCTTGTACACTTTTTTCGACCACATCTTTTCCTTCCCTTCGCCTCTCTATTAATGTGCTTGGACACTGAGCTCTGTGAACAGCCAGCCTCTTTAGCGATGACCTTTTGTGTCTTGCCCTCCTTGTGCAAGGTGTCGATGGTCGTCTTTTGGACAACTGTCAAGTCAGCAGTCTTCCCCATGATTGTGTAGCCTATAGAACTAGACTGAAAGACCATTTAAAGGCTTTTGCAGGTGGTTTGAGTTAATTAGCTGATTAGAGTGTGGCACCAGGGGCCATCAATTTTGAACCTTTTCACAATATTCTAATTTTCTGATATGATGAATTTGAGATTTTCATTTCTTGTCATTTGTAATCATCAAAATTAAACAAAATAAACATCTGAAATATATGAGTTTGTATGTAATGTATGAATATAATATACAAGTTTCACTTTTTAAATGGAATTACTGAAATCAATCTACTTTTTCATGATATTCTAATTTTATGACCAGCACCTGTATTAGTGGGTTATAGGCGTAACAGGACCAATAAAATGTACATGATTCATACAATACTGTTTTTATTTAACCAATTTAAAAGGTATTCCCTCAAAAGAGATAGCTGGAGCCACAATTAAATTGGTTAGACAAATGATCAAGAAGTCATATCAATCAGAGCCAACATGTTAATGTTAAGCTAGCAATTCAGCAAACTGCCATACATATACAAAATCAAGATATAAATAACAAAGACTATAGCTGTGAAAGCTAAACTGTCGGACATGAATAAAGATAAACTTTAACAGCTGAAATTTACAGGTAATATTTGTTAATAGTTGTTTTTTTTTAAATGATTTTTAGGATTATATGTCAGGTGCACCATCAGGTGGCTGTGTTTAGTGCAACTATTTTTGATGCCATACAATTAATGTTTAAAGCAAATTACAACTTTGTTGCACTGGTGAGTCAAAACGGTTCTGGACAATCCAACCTTATTATTTTCACAATGAAGGAGAGAATTTATTAACTAGGGATGCACTTATCCAATTTTTTACACCTCTGATTCGATTTCAGTATCAGATCTGCAGATCCCAAAGCTCTGATACCAGAGCTCTGTTTGCTTCAATGTTATCATGTAAACTATTGATTTTTAAAGAGGCTGTCATAAATTCCTCTGCAGAAAACTATGAAAGGTATGAATGGACAAATGTATATCCAAAAGGCAACTTGAGATAAATATAAAATCAGAAAAGGAAGTCATAAAAGCACCCAGTCGCATTGAAAACAGAACAAATTCCTCCTGGAAAACAAATATGCACCGTAAGGTTCAAATTCACTGTATTTATTAAATCAAAGTAAGATGCCCATAAGAGTGTAAACTTTTATGCTGTTCAAAACTTTTGAATAACGAAAACACTAACTTAAATTTATTTTAGAAATAGACTGAAAACATCTTCCCCTATGGATCGTGGGCTTTTTCATTAGTGCATCTCTAGTACTAACTACTTAAGATCCTTACACCTGTATCAAAGGAGCTGAAACCATAGAAAAAAATTACTTTACTGCAGTTTTTTTTTCAATTTGATAAAACTGGAACACCAATTAAATATGTTAAGGAGTAAATTATCAACATCTTCAGTCAAAACTACTTGTTATCATTTTAGCTAACTCCACATGAAATGAGTTAATGTGGATGAACTGCTAAACATAATTAAAATTATTAATCCTGACATCAATATATTTCCCTCAAATATGGTTTAAAACCACAAGAATAACAGCCGGTCTTTTTTTTTTCTATTTAATTTATGGCATTAAAAAAAGGTGAAAATATGATTAAATTCAGTCATTGAGTGCAGCCTGTTGATACGAATGAACTATTCTGTATGTAACATGTGGCATATTTGAAAATCTGTTTTTTTTTCTTCAGAACAGTGTTATGTAGATGTCAGCCTCAGATGTCTAACTTTAATTGTGGGGCTAAGATTGCTTTGACCTGCATTTGGGACCAGAGGAATATTTGGATCAGTTTTACCCCACAGAGTAGTTGAAAACACAGTCAGAATTATTCTAAACGTTTTATGGTGATTAGAAAACAAGATTTGTTATATATAGAACTTGTTATATAAAATACTTTTGGGGGTGAAATGTGAAGGAGCTCATATTTAAAATTTTAAAATATTTGAATAAAAAAAATCACAGTAACTTTAAATTTGGGGACAAAGCACTTTTTTTTAAATGCCTATATATTTTTTAATAACCATTTCAGTTTTAATTAAAACCTCAATAAAAACAGATATCCAAAAGCCTGGAGCTAATATGGTATTCATGCTGATGACATATAATGGCCACCTCTGATCTGAGCTGTATATTCTACCGTTGATAAACACAGGCCCTGATTTATTTTATTTTTTTCTAAAAATCACCTCTGTTTTCCCCCCTTAAATAAGTAAATACTATGTTCAAGTTCAGCAGGCTTTTATATTTTGGGATTGATTATAAAGACAAAAAATAAAAACAACAGTGTTTCATAGCACACATCTTTTATCTTCTAAAGCAGATTTCATGTGGCAAACATCCACAGTGCAATTACTATTAAGCCACTGTAATGCAACAATATCCACATATACTCTGTATTATATAAAGACATTAGAAACCTTTATCACAATTAAGCCTTTTTGTAGAAAATGTACATCAGAAAAATACGCAGGTGCATCCTCATCATTAATATTGTCTGTTTTAGTGTCGCTCTTCCTTCGGGTTGCTCTTTGTATTGTTAAAAGTCTGGATATTTTACCCCTTGTATAAAATAGACAGCCGCAGCAGAAGGCAAGAGGAGCAGGAGCTGTTGCTATATGGCAGAGGCTTTTTCTCTGTTGATGAAGAGGGTCTCCTGGCAGAAAGGGTTAACCAGCACCACGCTGCTGCCACTGTAGTCTCCATTAGGGGGCAGGCAGGTCTCATGCTCCTGAAAACAAACACCAATAGACAATATAAAATAATTGTAAAAAAAAAAAACAGCCTTTCATATTTAACCTAAACTATAATCTAGAATTTTCTAAATGAACTATTACATGATGCAAGATAAAGAGTAGGGAGGATAGGGAAAGGCTGGGAAACAAAAGGCAGAGATGACTCAGAGGAAAATGTTAACTGCAGGGGTGAAGGGGGGGGGGGGGTCTCATGGGGGTGAGTCAGCGGTAATGAAGTAGAGCTGGGGGAGGAGGCGTGAAAAAACAAAATGATTTGTTTTCCAGCAGCTATGAGGCCGTTTCATCAGTGATCTAATTCACCCTCCCTCAAGAGCCTTTCCACATGCCCACAGTTCTCCAACAGAAGCTAGTAAGAGTAAATCTACTGAGACACGTAAAGCTGCAGGGAGGGGGGGAATAAACAACACCTGGGTGTCACCACGGGCATGCCATACATGATCCAACATCATCTTCTCGGTCCTTACAACCCCATTGTCAGCAGGAGCAATGCAAATGGAGCAACATCAGAGAAACACAAAGAAGGAGACAGAATGAAGCTATAACTGCAAAGAAAATCATCAACTGAAGCATGCAAGTAGAGAAAACAATGACGGAGGAGGTGAATGTGCAGGATTGAAAACAAAACAGATGTTGTGCATTTTCTTTTCCCGCAGATGGTGCTGTGATGCACCAAAAGCTGGAGTCACGAGGTGGGAATGGATTTATGGTTTTAAATGTTTACTTTCATCATATCAGAGAGGAAATTACAAGATTTTCCCTTTTAACTTTGAAATTTATTTTAAAATCTTATGAGGTAAATGAATTGATCTGTATGTAGCCAAATAATCATTCAGTTTTTTAAGACATTCTCTCACAAATCTATCATAAAGGTAAACAGGAAATGTGTTAAATTTACCTACTTTTAGATATTTTACTTAGTTTTAAACTGAAATACTCAAAAATGGGGACAAATCCTTGTGTTTCTAAATAAAAAAATAAAATAGATCAATATTTAATCGATCAAGCTTTAAAAAAAGCCCAGGATTTTCTTTGGAAGAGAAATTATTACTTCTACTTCAAAATATTTTGATTTTTCAGAAAAAATGTGAAAAAGAATATTGCTAAAAATGTTATAAAAGATATAATCATCAATTTAAAAGTTTATTCCCCCAGATGAGAAGGGAATCTAGCTTTAATTGACTAGAAATATTAAACGGTATGACCTTTAGTTTGTTTCTGATGTAGATATTTTCTGACTTAACAATTTTTTTATTACCTATCTTAAGAAGGATCTGGTTTTTAATCACCTAATTTTGAGTTTCATTTGGTTGGAGGTTTATATAGCAGGATAAGTATAAAATGCATTTCACATAATACTTCAAGAGGCTTTTGCCGAGTCTTTGGTCTTAGTAAGTCTCCTTCTGGTTAAAGCCTTTCTCAGTAATGCAAATTCTCACTGGAAAACAAGTTGCTGATATAAAACATAAACAAATGTTTGCAGTCTAAAATTCATAAAGATCTAATAAAAGAGTCAAAAAGAAAAAAAGGGGGGGGGGGGGGGGGGGGGGCATGACTTGTGTGATCTGGAGGAATAGACCCCCCGCTCTGAACCCGAATGGTGTTTCATTATTGGACTTCTGTGCAAGTCCTGGATTGTATTTATTGGACACCATGTTCGAGTATAAGGTGCACCTGGCACCAGGACACCCTAGGTTGAAGATCAGCTTTGTAGTTCTATCCTCTGACCTTTGGCCGCATGTCTTTGACACTCAGGTAAAGAGAGAGGTGGAGCTGCCCGCCAACCACCACCTGGTCTTGAGCTGGATACGTTGGAAGAAAAGGAAGCCTGAAAGACTCAGCAGGCCAAAGCGAGTAGTTAGGGACTGCTTGGAACGTCTGGTGGGGTCTTAGTCAGGAACCTGTTCAAGACCTACATCATGGAGAGCGTCCCCAGACATAGAATCTGAGTGAGCCATGTTCTCTGCCGCTTTTGTCGTTGTGGCCGTCCGTAGCTATGGCCATTGGGTCTGCGGTGCCTGTCGTGACGGGAATCCCTGAAGTCGACTTATGGCACTGGTAGTAAGGGATGCTGTCAAGTTAAAGAAGGAGTCCTATCAAGCCTGGCTGGCTTGATAGGACTCCTGAGACAGCAAGCAGGTACCGAGCGGTCTCAGAGGCAAAAACCTGGGCCTTGGAGGAGTTTGGAGAGGCCATGGAGAAAGACTATTGGCTGGCCTCAAAGCGATTCTGGCAAACATTCCTGCAACAGACTTGCATCTGTTAGTGATTGTCTATAGGAAAAAGAAGGCTATATTCCCAGAAAGAACTGATAAAGATATATGGAACTGCATTTTGCTGGGGGGGTATAAATGTCTTCTTAAAGCTCTTTTGCAAATAAGAAGGAGCCCTGTGGGGGTTTCCATCAGCCATCAAAACAAACTCTAAGAAATCTTATAAATCACTACATGAGGCAAATATAGACAAATGAAGTCATCACTGAAAATGTGTCAAACTTCAGAACGGAAGCTCTTCAACAGTCCATGGATAAAGACTATTGGCTGGCAAACTGTCTGGCGCCTCCAGAGGGGAAAGCAGTGCTTTGCCAATACTGTTTTTAGTGGGAGTGGGGAGCTGCTGACCTTGAAAGAGGACAACGTTGGACGGTGGAAGGGATGCTTTGAAGGTCTTCTTGTGAGTGCTCAGAGCCAGATTCGTTTATGACTCAGGCTAAAGTAACCCAGGTAGCCCGAAAAAACTACACAGTTACAAAGCTTTTTTTTTTTACCTGATTACCTGAGTAAAAGCTGCTGCAATTTCTCTAAATTGAATCCTAATAGGTCACAGCAGGTAAGTGTAGCTGAAATATGAACAAATTAAAAATACTCTTCACCAGGATTTTTGGACTAATTTTACAGGCTTAGACTGCTAGAGACCCCTTTTCATAATTTTGCTTCATTCTATCTCTATTCTCCAGTTCTAAAGTATTTGTTAGTTCAATCTCTTATGTTATGCTTTCTCTGATTTCTCATCATAGCTTCATCTTTTCTATTCCTCTTTGGCTGCAACACCATCCTGGAGAGAAATATTAGCTGTGCTGCTGCCATCAAAACCTTTGTTTATAGATGATGGAGCTTGGCTTGTTTTTCAGTGTAGTCCTGTTTCTCTGACTGTGACTAACTGGATGTGCTCTACTTCATCCTCTGACATCAGAGCTGGCTCAGAGCTCATCTGACTGGCTGTGTGTTTCAGGAATGCAGTTGCCTGTGGAGCAGGTTGACAGTTGCCTTTTGAATCTGTGTCTAGATAGAAAACTTTGACCCAGTCTGACTGTATGATCTGGTTGAATTGCCTCTGTAAAGTGTCTCGAGATGACATGTGTTGTGAATTGGTGCTATATAAACAAAGTGAGATGAATTGCACTAAATCTTGCTTATTGAAGATTCTTATTATTTTATTAGCTTTTTAGGGTGTGAAAAGTAGGGGTTGTCTGGATACAACTTTTTGATGGATGATACAGTCATATTGCAGCTTTGACTATTGACCAATACCAATATTGACCTGATAAAATGAAAAGAAAGAAGAAAAATGATTAAGTGCGCAATATGATTCTGAAGATCAAGTGTGCAAAAGGCCAAATCAAATCTTGAATGGCAAGAGGGATAAAACATGAGTAACGCTCTGAACACAATATAAAAGGTGTGGTTTACTGAATATTGAACTAAAGTTAATGGATGCATGAGTACAGCCAGATGATGGCGATGGCTTTCAACAATGTTTATCACTCTAGTACAAAACTTCTTTTAGGTTAAAAAAGGACAAAGTAAACACCATGAGGATGAATTCTTGCAGTATATGGTCTAATTTTCAGATGAAAATAAGTTTTGTTTGTGTGATATTATTTGCAAAATGTTCAAGACTAGGCATCTTTAAAGTGAGTTAAATATAATAATGTTTTTTGAAATACTTATTACTTAACACAGACAATGCACACATTTCACCTATTTAAATATTTCTCTACAGTCTCTTCTTCAAAAGAGACCATATAAGAAAAGCTTAAGTTTAAAAAAAGAAAAAGTGTAAACTACAGAAACTAAAATCAACTGTTAACTTTTCCTCTTTTCTCTGCAGGCACCTGGGGGCTTGCTGACAGGGAAGATTGGACCTGGATGTTTGCATACTCATTAACTGCATTCTGCTGACCTGCAGTGAAACGGGTAAATATCCTCACACCTCAGAGCTTGTAGCTCTTGCTGCTGAGCAGTGATAGAGCCAAAGTGTGTCAGTAGTTTGTACCTCGCTCTCCAGAGTATGGATCTCTCTGGGCAGCTCCACAGCGTGTCTGCTGAAGTAGTCCATGGTGATGGCGTTGTTCCAGTAACTGAGGTTGTTCTCCTGACTCGTCGACTTCTTCTTTCTCCTCATGCAGCACACTGTCAACAGCACGGCTACAGGAGGAGAGCAAAATATGGATTAGTAGAGAAAATGAACAGATAGAAGCTGTCATATTTTTAGGACAACAAACTACTCTAGGAGAAAATCTGGTGGAGAGGAGAAAAAAAAAATTCCCAAAACATTGCTCAAACATTTCTCTGGGTGTATTAAATCAGACTTAAATCTGTCAGGGATTGTCTATAGGAAAAAAAAAAGCTATATTCCCATAAAGAACGGATTAAGATACATGAAACTGCATTTTGCTGGGGGTTAAGCCTTTTTTTTAAGCTCTTTTACAAATAAGAAGGAGCCCTGAATGGTTTCCGTCAGTCGTGAAAACTAATTCTGAGAAAAAACTTGTAAATCACTACATAATGCGAATGTAGACAAATAAAGCCATTACTGAAAATTCTGTCAAACTTCAGAACGAAAGGAAAAAAGATTGTAAATAGTCTGCCAGTATGTCTGAGAATATCTTGGGAGGGGTTTGGTTTGGTTATCAATAAGAGGGGTATTTAGGGCATGTGTCACTTAATGTAAAAGATTATTAGAAAAGTTTAAGGTTAATTAAACTACTCATTTCTTTTTCAAAAACATGTGTTGCTATGGTTGCTAAGGAGAGCTGGTTAGGAACAGAGCTGAGAGATAAGACAGTTGTGCCACTGGAAGACCAAGATAGTTAGGTTGCTTGGGTGTCCATTAGTCTGGGTCTAAAAAACAGGCAGATCTTTTTGTCATTATTTTGTCATTATTATACTTTTGGTCATTATTTCACAAAATACACCATTACAAAGAAGCTTGCAGATTGAAAGGTTGCGCGCTTCGTAATAGCTCTGCTGTTAGCATTGTGAAATGTGTTTTATTCAAACTAGAGCCTGTTTCACTCATATTCGGCGACTAATTTTTAGCATTTATACATAGGTGTTAACATTTTATTTACAAGATCAAAGATGAGTAGAGCAACCATAAATGTCATTTTCAACAAATGTAGTTGTTGTTAAGTATAAATGGATGATGATATAAATCAGTATTTATTGTATGCATTGTTCTATATCTAACTATGTAAAAAATAAACTGCTCAGTGGAGCAATTTGTGGCGCTGTTGGTCCTCGGTTTGATTCCCGGCCCAGGGTCTTTTTTGCATGTATGGTCAGGTTAAATGGTGTCTCTAAATTGTCTTTACGTGTGAGCGAGTGCATACATGGTTTTGTATGTCTAATTGTCTAACATCTATGGAAATGCTAGTCTGAGACCCTAACTTCCCTTGAACTACTTAAGCTCAATGCGGCAATTCTCTTTAAAATTCCACCCATTGTAACCAATAGATTTGTTAAAACACTTTTGTCTACAGCCATGTTTAGAGCAAGTGCCATCAGATAAAATCCAACAGAGGAGACAAATCTAGAGCTTCGAAAGTTTTCCAAATAACCTCCTAATACTTCCACAAATTTTACACTATGTCAACAACTTATACTTCAAAATGTCAGCATTTTGGTTTTCTCTGAGCTAGTTTTTCTGTCCTTATAACACATGTTATGTTTTTATCAAGTCCCTTAAGAAGGTGAACATCTCACCTCCCATTAGTCTTTGACAATGTTGAAAAAGAAACATTTTGAAGAGGGTTTTTATAATTGTCATAACTCCTAAATTAAATGCAAACAAAAGGTCAATCTTGCCATAAGTGACAACTAATCTCTTCTGCTGCTCAGGGTCTAAAACTGCTTGAAAACCTGTAGTTTCAAATGACACGTTTTTTTTAAAAGGCTACTTCAGGGCTTCTCTCCTTGCTGGCTGCCTTATCTTTGCAGCTATGCTTAATTAGGCTAGCTTTAGAGACCCGTTGATGGAGCACCATGGCAACAAGCCTACAAACTTAACCTGTTGTGATAACTATCCAAACAGTATCTCCCAGCTCTATTTAGAAATTGCAGTAATTCAGTAATTTTTAAAGGTCAAAAACTGGACATTTGTAGCATTTGCAATATTTTTATCTCATGGCCCTTCAAAACTGAGATCAAGAAGAAAAAATAAAATAAAGCCATGTAAGTAAAAACCATACATGTTGCTCAGAGGGTTCTGCTTCTGACTGGTTCCTTCTCTCCAACAGCTGTATAGACCTTAGCTCTCGGCTTTCCTCTTGCTGCTAAGGACTTTTTTAGGAGCTGATGTGCAGATGTTTCTCTCTGTTTGTTTTGCTTTGCTATTAGATGCCTCTTATGTGTAACGAGATACAATAAACTAATATTATAAGCTGACTTATTTATATCAATCTTTAAAATTAACTAAAATCAGAGTTTTTTTCTTATTACTGAATATATATTTACACACATTTGCTGCACAGTCCATTGGGGGTGCTGCAGGATCCCTAAAAGCCTACTTTATCAAGAATCCTTGTTGTATTTTTGCCCTATAATAAAATTTTGTCAGGACACTTGGTTCAAACTGCACATAAACAGAAGACTGAAAAAATAATACACTCATAATCTGTAACCTAAAGCAGTAAGTTATCCAACTTGTCAGCTTTTGACCAAAAGTAAAAATTGAGGACATGTATGACCAAAAAAATCAGTTCAGTAATTAATACCAAGTATTAATAAGTATTAATAGTTTGTTTCAAACGGATACTATAAATGCAACATTAACACCTAAAATTGTGATTTTGAATCTATTTGTTAAGGTTTCTTTATGACTTCAAGAGAAACTTCACTTCACTTTTTCCTGTTTAAGGTGTAAATTAAACCATGGCGATGGCTGCAGAAAGTTTGGTTATCTAATCAAAGTTGTGTTTAGAGCAGTTTTTGTCATTTTCCCAAAATGTGCAAATTTGAGCAACTCCCTTGATTATTCAATATGTTTTGGGAGACTTACTTCATAAATTTTTACTTACAAATAGAGGAAACGGGCACACCGATCGCTAGGACTATCCACACAATGTCCATCATGTTCAGGCAGATGGTGGTTTGGGACAGCTTGGGGTTGACGGTGGAGCCCAAATTGTTCCCAGCTTCCCCAGGATCACTGGTCGTGGCCGGTACCTGCCTGTTGAGGAAGTTCCCACTGTCTGTGGAGGGGATCGTCGAGTTGTTCCCCTGAGCAGACCCCTCCTCAGCAAATACTGAGCTACTGTTAGAGAATAATCCTGCAAGAGTTACATTCCCCTGATGGTGTCCCACAGCAGGTCTGTCTGTGCCGTTACCTAGAACCACCTGGCCCTCTTCGCTGGTGCCTGTGGTATAGTTGACTGGGATGACTGTTGGTTTATGGGATCTGAAGCTTGCATGGGTGGATATGACTGTGACGGGCGCAGGGGAAGTTACATTTCTCAAAGGGCTTCCCTGAGTTTCTGGTTCCCTCTCTGTTGAGGAGGGTTTGGTAGAGGAAAGGGGGCTGCTCTGGGGGGTTGCCATGGAGAAAGAGTCCTGGGATGTGTGGCTGACGTGCTGCCCCTGTGCCGACAATGCTACTCCAATGGTCAGAGCTAGAAATGCCACAACACCTAAAGAAAAAATCAAGGGAATCATAATTACCAAGACATAATCATTTATACCAGTTCAATTCAATACAAAGTTATCTGCTATAAATAAATGTTTTATCTGTCTGGTAGATTTAAAGATTCAACATTTCTCTCATGGGTATTATGGTAAGCAGGAACTAAAACAGACACCCTCAGATTTTCAGATCAGATACGAAACCCTGTCTTTTAATTCATTACTATTCTAAGGATTTAAACAGCTCAACTGCTGTGTCACTCACCTACTTTAATTAAATTGCTTTATTAACTGCATTATGCGGCAGATAAGTATCACTGTGTGAACATGGATGAGGTGACAGAGCATGTATTCATATCGAAACACTGTGCTGTAGAGGAAAGTCATAGAAAGCCCTACAGAGCTATCAGATGTTGCCATAGAAAAGCAATTATCTTGCTAGATTCTGTGCAAAAAAGAAAAATCTAATTTCTTCTCTTAAGAAAAATTCAGTACAGTCATATTATAGGGGATTTTAGAATTATCATTAGTTTTCCTAATCTAAAAAGTCCAATTACATTCTAATTTAGCATTTCTCTATATGCATGACTGAAGGGCGTTGTGTTGAAATAACCGGCTTCACATGCTAAAGCCATCCAAAACATTTGCTCTTTTGTATCAATCTAACAAAGTGACAAGCTATTAGCAGCTGTCTATAAGGATTATTGGTCATCCCTTGTTATCCAGACAACATGAAATCCACCAGAGGGAGGAGTGCAGAAAGGCTAATCAATCTCCCTCTGGTTCTGATCTTCTGTTGACATTATCCAACATTCCTTGCAGTCACAAGGTTGAGGGTTCAATTTCAGCTTCCTCAGCTTGTCCATGGTGCATCATGCAGATGCACTAGAACCTCAAGTTGCCTGTTAAACTAGGTTAACTTTGCAAACTTGCAAGTTAGGTTGATTTCCCAAATAGAGCAAAAATACTTGTCTTAGTTTCTGCATTTAAATAGGATTTGAACCTTTATAAAGACATACTGTATGAAATATAACATCTTTAGTATGTTTCCCTGATGTAAGCAGGAGCTTGATCTTGTTGTATATAAAGGCTTTCTGTGGCACAGTGTTAACATTTTAGAATTTACTTCTGCATTTTACACTTTGCTTTTTGTTTTTGTTTTTTTTACATTTGTTAGTAGCAAAATTGTTTTAAGTTTTTACTGTAAACAAATTACATGACAGGTGGAACAATATTACTCATGCATGAAATGAGAAAACAGGCAAGTAATAGAGCAAAGCGAATCCCAGCAGATGTGTCAAAAAGAATAAGGAAAAATCCAAGATCAAGTCTGAGAAAGCACACAAAATATTTAATCCCAAAAGGGATAAGATGTGAGAAGCTTTAGAAATACAATATGAGTGATGCTGTTTGCTTAAGCAGGAGCTAAATGTGCAGAAGATATGTAAAAAAAATTTTGTTTGCTGACCATACCATGAGTAAAACATTTAAACCTTTAAAAAAAAGGACAAATGTGAACACTGTCAGGATGATTGCCTGGTTTATTTTGCTTAATTTTAAAATTTTTAAAGGAAAATTCCGGTTTTTAACACTTTTAGCCCATTTTCTGTAGTGTCCAGGATGAAATCGAATGATCGACACCAAAATTTTGACGATTGGTCCTGTCTCTGCTATTTGGCTCATGCAGAATCCCCCCCTGGCTGCTTCAGAATGGCTTCCATAGTGCATGTCCGATAACGTCCTTAAAACAACCTTAAACGTTCTTTTTTTAAAATATGCTACTCACCGGGTCGTCAGCGCTGTTCAATGACGTTCCAAAAAAAGTTTCGTGAAGAAAAACCGTTCCTGTCTTGTTTTATTTAGCATTTTGTAAATCCCAGAACTATTTTTTCCGATACATCACAACCGCTTATAAACTTCCGCTTCCCGTTCGAATCTGAAGCGTTGCACACTCCAGACCACTAGTTGGCGACGGTATCCTCTACCGTCAAACTCAAAGTCCAATATGTCCTCCTCAAGAATCCACCTTTCGTATTCCATTTTCAGAGTTTTTTAAAGTGTTTAACAGAGACGTCAGCACCTCGACGTCAGAGTACACAGAGTGTTGGCGACAGTCAAAACAACTAAGTCGCCGAGCGGCTGATTAGGGGAATCCTTGTTGACGCGCTCAAAAGGTTCAGTCCAATATGCTGTTCAGATCCTTTTATTGATCTTCAAAAAACATGCAGGCAGCATACAAACAAATCCACAGGTTGGAGCCGTGATCAAGCGCAACAATAATCTCCAAAACTTAAAGCGGTCAGCAAAATGTAGACATCCCCCATCACCCACTCTCTGACACAAAAACATCAGGTGAACAGAACAGGTGATTTTACCAATCACCGCTGACACCACGTGATCAAAACTATGCCCATTCACCACATTCCGGCCCCTAATTATTACTTCACTACAAGGTAATAATTACACATCCAACACATATGCTGAGATATACATTATATCAGAACACTGAATGAGACATTGTACGTTCAAAGAGTCCATAGACGTCATTTCCTCCTTTCTTCTTTTGTCCATATAGAGTAGTCAGTCAGTCATAGGCCAGAGGTTACCAGCACTTAGCCTTATAGTCAGTCTGTGATGTACATCAAGCAGTATTAAAGTTAAGTCAAAGAGTCAAGTCAAACTAGGTACAAAAGTGTCTTTATTGGTCGGAACTTTCCTGAAGAAGGCATATCTTTGTGATGGGTCTGCATAGATGGCTGGTTGGAGTCTTAATCCAGGACCTGGAGGGGGGCCGCCCACTGCGGCTCGGAAACAGACTCAGAGGGGGCCGCCCACTGCGGCACAGGAACAGTCTCGGAGGGGGCCGCCCACTGCGGCACAGGAACAGACTCGGAGGGGGCCGCCCGCTGCGGCACAGGAACAGACTCGGAGGGGGCCGCCCACTGCGGCACAGGAAGAGACTCGGAGGGGGCCGCCCACTGCGGCACAGGAACACACTCGGAGGGGGCCGCCCACTGCGGCACAGGAACAGACTCGGAGGGGGCCGCCCACTGCGGCACAGGAACACACTCAGAGGGGGCCGCCCACTGCGGCACAGGAACAGACTCGGAAGGGGCCGCCCACTGCGGCACAGGAACAGACTCAGAGGGGGCCGCCCACTGCGGCACAGGAACAGACTCGGAGGGGGGCCACCCACTGCGGCACAGGAACCACCATGGAGCTGTGCATTAAGAGAAATGCCCTTCCCATAATGTCGCTCCAAGTCTGCAATTGGCACTCTTTTTGCATAATCTCTGGATAGAAGATCTTTCATGAAGGCAGTGTAGTCTTTATGGAAGTCTTTATCTCTGATGAACTTCTTTTTCAAGCTTAAGGCACGTTGTTCAGCAATTACTCGGTTATCAGGCATTTTTATTTCTCTGTCTTTCAAAGGCAGGGCTATGCTGTAATGTGCATCCTTTAAGGTCACTGTCTTATCAACTAACTCCAGAAACTTAGAGTCTTCCTGTGACATCCCCACACGCTCATCATAGCTGCTCTCAGGGAGGTCAATCTTGAACTGTTGCTTCCATAACTTGTCCAATGTAATAGCAGAAATCCTATTGGTAGTAAATGTTGACAGACAGTTTGGTTTTCCACAGCATTCTTGTTCGAGTGGCCCATTCACTGTCCAACCCAGCATCGTTTTAATGGCAAAGGGTCCATCACATTCAATTCTGATGACCTCCAAAGGGTCTAAAGCTTTGGGCATGTTTAGGCCAATCAGAAGCTCCACCTGAGCTTTTATCTCAGGCAAAAGAACACGCTTCAAATGTGGCTATTTATCCAAGTCGCGTTGCTTCGGGATGTTACCTTGGTCTACAGGCATTCTGTGCTGAGTGAAGAGGTCAGGCATGTCACAGTACATATTGCTGTCCAATCCAGCAATTTCAAGTTCAGGCACAATAAAGCTGTCCATCACTTTCTCTTGTCCCATGGTGCGCAAAAGAATCTTTGTTTTCCTCCCAGTGAGATTCAACTTGTCCATAAGACCGACTGTACAAAAGGATGCTGAACTCCCTTGGTCCAGAAAGGCATAGGTTTCCACTATTATTTGACCTTTCTTTGATTTCACTTTGACTGACACAATTGAAAGCTTACAATCTTGTTCCCCGGCCCCAGTAAGACCACTAGTCTGGACTGTGACAGGAGTGTTGTCTGCCTCAGTGTCAAGTTTGACCCGGTTCTTCTTGTCGTGGATATGAAGTATACTTGGATGTCAAAAACCACAGATTTTGCATGAAAGGCGATTTCTGCATTCCTTGCTGATGTGTCCTGTGCCCAAGCAACCAAAACAGACATTATTCTTCATAAAATATGAAATCTTCTCATTATGGGGTTTATTACCAAACAGAGAACATAAATCCAATGTGTGTCCACCTTTGCAAAACAAACAAATCTTCACAGCAGTCTGATGTTCTTGAGCCTCTGAAAAATTATTTCTCCCCACAGCAGATATGGTTGTACCAAAGCTACTCCCTCGAGTTCTTAGACGAGGAGAACGTTTCTCACCATCACTATTCTTGACTGTTAAGTATGTTGGAGCATCACATAGATTTCCAAAGACAGGATCTGTAATAATTTTAACTTGAGGTTCAAGGAAGAGAACAATGTCAGTAAATGTAGCTCTGCGATGCTGCTTCTCTTGGATGTCGCATGCTGCTGTGCGCCATTTATCTTTCAACTTGGCAGGTGTATTTAATTCGGAAAGATCATAAACATCCTCCATCGCATTGCAACATCCACGTAAGAACAAACAGTATGCCTGAAGAGCTTTTCCATCTTCTGATTTAATCAAAGGCCATGAGTGTATTTTATTCAGATAAGCAGATGCAATGACATGTCCATTTCCAAAGTGCTCATACAACATAGTCTTTGCTTTTATATATCCAGCACCATCAGACATATGTTGACAGCTTTTGACAAGTTTGCAGGGCTGACCCCTAGTGTACTGTGCAAGATAATGCAG